CTACCAGGTGTAACGGGGCACCCTGAAGCTTGTACTGGTGACAGTACAAGCTACTTATTCTGATAACAGAATAAGGCGGTGCCTCGTAACTTCACGTACACTCGTACGTGCAGAGGAAGACGGTAAGAAGAAGCGAGTACTTGGTTAGAGTAAGAAGTAGAACTGTATTTATAATAGTTAATGTCTGCAATAAATCCCTATTTATCTTCATCTAACTATGTCTAAATACAAATGTGTAAATCAGTTATCTGCTCACCACTCATTGCGTGCGTCTGTCGTGGCGCGTCTTCGTTGGTTGATATAATGGCCTATATCAACCAATTAGGAACTACTTGGAAGTGCTACAGAATATTTGTCCTTATGACAATATTCTGAGAATATAACTCTTATAGTTATATTCTATTAACAATTTCTTATAAATTGTTATGTAACGATTCACCCCGTTACACAAGGTGTGTCTACAATACAAAGCAGACGTGCGAGCTCAGAATTATATAAAAGTGAGCCAAGGCTGATAGATTGTCTACCATTTCCTCTGTAAATATATGGCACGTGCAGGCTCGATGATATCAAGGCGATAAGGCTGACGTTTAACGGAGATCCGTATCCATTCCCTTGCCATTCTGACTCAGCTGACTTTCGATGGGGACGAGCGAGCGTTATATCTCACTTACGCTTTACTTTTCTTTACTTATTGTGACGTTTGATGAGCTCGTCTATATTTCATCTCGACTTTGGCTCATGCTGCAAAACAAAAGAGTAAAGGCTCTGCAAATACATATACATGCAACTGGTTACTAACACGAAAACACCACTGGAAAATAATAACAGAAACGATTACAGAAAGAAGACAATGCGGCACCGAGAAAGGTGGGTACGCTCCGACGAGAATTCGATGATCCTAATGCTGATCCAGTTCACACATAGTCCACCAGCGGTGCTGACTGATAATACAGGGATAGATCAGTGTTGACTCGATCTACACAAAATCGATCGTGGCCACTTCACACTTTCTACTAATGAGAGGTACACAGAAGACTACCTACTGCCGAGAAACACAGACGACTTTGAGCTCTATTGAGACACTCATTTGAACCGAAGTAATTTTCATCAAGGGCCAAGATGGCAACGCGAACGATTAGTCATCGCATAGACGCAAAGTCAAGATCAAGTGCTCAGCATGATTTATGGGACTAAACTGCAGAGCCTCTTGTTAAACAAGAAGCGCTCACAAATTGATCTTGCGTGTAGCGTTGCAGCTGACGGCACGATGCCTGCTGCAGCCGATAGATGGCAAAATTGGACGATACGGTGTACAAAAGGATCACGATACACAAGTAGGCTGAGAGGCGTGTCGGAAAAGAGTGTGCTGAAAAAGAGTGTCATCGTAAGTACGAATGTGGGCGAGGCGCGCTAGACGACAATGGGAATGTCGGCCACTGACTTTGTGTTCGTAATGGGTACACGTTGTGCGACACTATATGCGAGACTTGATGACGGTGTGATGAGAAGGACAGCTATAGAGTGGACAAGAAGAATGGTGAGGGAGAGTAGATAAAGGAATAACGAAGATAAATGACAAAACCATTTTACTACAGTGCTTTATGTTTCTCCTCTAACGATATGAATATTAAAAGGGTTATGAGCCTAAACTCGGAGAGCAAGGACAACAACGCGGCACAGTCACCTCCGGCAACTGGTCACAAAAGGGTTACATTAAAGCCAACTGCGGTCGTCATCCCTCTAGATCACCCCAGCAGCGTAAAACCCAAAGCGCTTGCCAAGGTTTTTTGAAACGCCATCTGGGATGAATGTGAGGATGAAGAAGATGGAAGCCTCGCGAGCAAGGATCAAAGAATATTGAGTGTATATGCGGTGCCGACGAAATCAAATTATTCACCGCCAAGCTCGGAGCTGACTTTGCTGGTAAGCTATATTGCGGAGCCTTGGAGCTTCCAGATTATCGAGAACGGCGTGGATTACCGCAAGATTGTCGTGTTTTGGGTCGGCTTGATGACCTGAGGATGGGGATGCGTCACATTGCGTAGCAACTCGCTGAACCCCTACCGTATTTGCCGCCTCAGCTGCCACCATACCAGCCGCTTCCGATGCCTCAGGCACCCCTAGGACCACCGCAGTAAGCCCCTGCGCCGGCGCAAAAATCTCACACTAAATGCGAGGTAATGCATGCTCGCGATCCGTGGGCTCGACAGGACCGAGGTCTACGTCAGGCTGCAGTCAGATTTTCGATTGGGAAAAGACCATTGGCGTCATATTGACATGGCACAAGTTTCATGCGGGCTCCTGTGCATCAAGGATGTCAAGACCAACGTGCTCGGCCAGTACCTCACTGGGATTGACGAGCTTTATTTCAACGAGCAGGTGGACTCGTGGTGGATTGTGCTGCCGACACTGAGGTACGTGATGCAACGCATGCTAGATAGGTATAAAAATGTCACAGCATCACAAGCCATGAAGACCTGCACAAAGAATAAAAAGATCAAGCCTTCGTCGGGTGGTGGGATCACTATCTATACCTTGTGGATGTCAGTGACGTCGCAAGTGGCACGGAGCAGAAAGTTCTGGACAACATCTTTATGAGTGCTTCCCCCGAGCTATCGAAGATACTTATTTCTAAGAATGACACGCGCCGTGTGGACTATCTTGTGCACGCGGACGAGCTAGCTTACTTTGATCAGGCTATAGAGATGGGAGCCCTATCGGGACGTTGCTTCGGTAAGAAGTTTATGGCACATGTGGATGAGCCCACGATACTTAAGTACACGCGCACTTAATACAGATGCGGCAAGGTGGGGCACGTCAAGGCTGACCTTCGCAGTACAAGGACGGGCGGTGGTACGGTGGTCGTCACAGCAAGCGTGATGGTAACACGGTGCTTTTCGCTGGCGAAGGCCAGAAAGAAAGGGTTATGTGCCGTCAAGAATCACCTGAAGATGGCGAAAGGCGAAGACAGTGAGACCGAGACTAATGATTGAAAGCTTAAAAGGTGGTTCCAGTTGCCACCTCGTCAATGATATCAATCTACTGCGTAACGCACAAGATTGTAATGAAAATTGTCACATTGCTAATGGCGTGACGATAAGTCTGAAGCGAGCCGGTAACGTGGTGCTGACAGTGCTGGCGAAGGGCAAGCAGCAAACTGTGACGTTGACACAGGTTTTCCTCGCGCACAAGCGAGCACGCAAAATAATGTTCTAAGGCAAGATCGAGCGCAAGGTTTTTGGCCTCGTGTTTATGATGAGGCGACGCAGCGTCTGGAAAGACGCAGAACGGCAAAGGAGCATTTAATGTGTTGGTGAAGTTCAACATGATGTAAGTGATGACAGTTTAAACAAAACGCGAGATAAAGAAACCAAGAAACTTGATTATGGCTATTTCGATGCGGGAAGATCCTTTGGATGAAGCGTATGCTGATGTACAATTGGGGTCCCATCTACATCATCACCAGCGACTTGCACATCTAGCTTACGACAAAATCGAAGGGGTGACTAAGGAGCCAGCTTTTTGCAACAAGCTCACGGACAACATGGAAAGCAGACGAAGAATGTTCAGTTGCGGAAAGACACTGGCTCGAATTCGCCCGTCGATCGAATTGGTGGAGTGATTTTGCTCACATTTAAATGGAACGATGAAGCCGAGGGGCCGACACTGCAGCCATTATCTTGTGAGATTCATAGATCACAAAAATCAACTACTATCGTGTTTTTCTTGTGCTTAAGAAGGACAAAGCTGCAAAGCGATCTGAGCACATTTTGACCTTTTTCGTGCGCCGGTTCAACTGTCGCATCCATGTGCTGCGAACAGGCGGGGTTGATGAGTACGCCAAAGTTGACCTGTTCGGCAAGTCGACAGGCGTTTTGCAGCAAATAACGCGAGGCAAGAAATCAGGCATCGAACAATAAGGTGGAGCACACGCACGGAACAGTGTTAAAAATGGCGCGCAGCATGATTTTTCTCAGTCGTCTTCCTGTGTCATTTGGGGGGGAGATGGCGAGTATGCTGCGTTAATACTCAACCGCAGCTCATCGATTGCATTGCAAAGCGCGCGTCTACGATAGAGGTCCTAACCAAGCACGCTCCCGATCTGTGTGATATCGTCGCTTTTGGATAGATCTGTAAGGTTGGTTAACGGGACCCCGACAGGAACTCGCTGGCACAACGGGCAAAAGCTGGAGGTATTGTCGGTCGCATTGATGAGAAGAAATCGTTCAGGGGGTTTATACCAAAAAATGTCACGTTCACACAGCACGTGCGAATTCTGAAACCCTCAGCGAGGAGCAAAAGAGTCATATTCAATGTGAAGTGGAATCTAAAGACTAGGAGACCGTTGCTGATGCACCAAGTGCAGTTGCCACTGTGACTAGAGCGATGCCTGTGACAAACGCTGCTGATTGAAAAGAGGAATCTGCACGTAGAGTTCGCGTTTGAAGGAAAAAATCGATGTCATGGACATGTGCAGCACACAGGACGCGTTAAGCAACAAAGTGCGCGAAGGGATCAGACGGTAAGGAGGAGCCAGATCAAAAAGAAGATGTGCAACAAGAAAATGTGTTAGCGCATGTGTGCGAGCGCGACCCCAAGAACTATAGGAAAGCGATGTGCAGCGCGGAACGGATTGGATAGGAGAAGGCAATGCAAAAGGAACTACAAGCTTTAAAAGAAAATGGCGTGTGGCGCCTAATCAATAAATCTACAGGAAGCAGCGCTCTGCATACGAAGTGATTTTACAGGACGAAGACCAATGCTGACGGCCTCCTCGAGCGTATGAAGGCAAGACTTGTGTCGTGTGGCAACTAACAGATTTTTGGGCTGACTAACAAAATACCTTTGGGGCTGTCATAAACATGTCGGCGGTGAAGGTGATTTTGGCGCTTGCGGAAATCTAAGGTGTGCCGGCGAAGCACGGAGACATCCCCAACGTCTAAGTCAAAGCTGAAAAGGAGGCACACTTAGAGATTCTTCTGCAAATTTCCCAGGCGATGAGCGTCAGCGAGGACGCGCTGAAGAAACTCGGTGCCGCGCACAAGAAAGATGTCGTGCTTCAGCTGTGTAAAATCTGTACGGCATCAAGCAGGCCGGACGGCTTTGGAGTAGCTCTTGCGTGATCGATAGCTTGACGCTATTCAGCCAGTGTGTCTCAGAATTGTGTCTTTACCGGAAGATCGATTATGGTTAGCTGGTCGTCGTGGGTATGTACGTAGAAGTCCTGTGGCCACCGGAATTTACACAGCTGCCGTCGAACGTTTCTTCACCCAGCTTGTAAGCATTTTTATAAAGGACACCGAAATTGTCAGCAATTTCACGGGATGTGTATGGCGAGAGAAGACGACGGCAGCTACGTGCTAGACCAGTCGGAAGCCATCGGCGAGCTGTTGCGCGAGCATGAACTTAAGAGATCCAATTCGACTCAAGCACCGATCGGAGCGGACTGTTATGAAGTGTAGCGTAGACAGAGCGCTGTTGGGTGCGAGCGTGGAAGACGGGGTTCCGAATATCCGGACGTTTCAATATCTTGTCGGCTGTTTTCTTTGGGTTGCGCACTGCACGCGGCCGAAAACCGCGTTCACCGTGCACAAAACAACGCGCTAGACCCACCAGCCATGAATGCACGAAATCAAAATTGCGAAACGAAGCAAGCGTTACCTCCATGCGCAGCGACTTCAAGCTGCGCATAGAGCCGATGAGAATTTACGATTGTGAGCTGCAGTTTAAGTCCTACTCAGACGCCGACTTCGCCGCTTACAAGTCGGATAAAAAATTATTGACTGGAGGCTCATCTGGATGAACGGGATGCCGGTGAGATATACAGCGAAGCAGCAGGGCGAGGTTACGCTTTCCACGATGGAGGCGGAGTTTGTGGCCACGTTGGAGCAAGCGCGCGAGCTGCTCGGCATCAAGAAGATGCTGTGCGAACTCGGGAAGTGGCCTGTGCTCCCGATGCCACCTCACGTCGACAACTAAGCAGTTAAAAGCATTTGGCTGGCAAGGTGTCGTTGTTAAATGCGAAGCACATTGACCTGCGCCTAAAGTTGGTCTGCGACAAATCCCGACGTGGTGTAGTCGCGGCCCAGTACGTGCGCTAAGAGCTGCAACTGGCGGACCTGTTAGGGAAGGCCCTGGACACGGCAAAACTTGCAAAATTGTACAAGTTACTGCGATAGAGAAACTTGATGAAGTCGCGGCCGAGGAGGGGTGTTGGAAAAGAGTGTGTTGAACAAGAGTGTCATCGTAAGTACGATTGCGGGCGAGGCGCGCTAGACGACGATGGAAATGGCGACCACTGACTTTGTGTTCGTAATGGGCACAAGTTGGTGCGACACGATATGCGAGACTTGATAATGGGGTGATGAGAAGGACAGCTATTGAGTGGACAAGAAGGATGGATAGGGAGAGTAGGTAGAGGAATAACGAAGATATAGCCCTCCCCCCCATGATTTATTCCCCCTACGGTATAACCTCTGCTAAGTTATACGATTTCGGGTCCACCGACGCCGTTCTATGGCGACTATGGAATACGGGATTCGGAATACCCGCCCAGGCCCAATATAACGTATCAGGGGAAGCATTTTTTGTCAAGAGTGAATAAATATTGTTTGGAGCATCCTGGAGCCTTTTTGAGCCATGAATTCAGTGTGGTTTGGATTGTGTTAGCACTACGAAGTTGGGCTTTGATGCGACGAAGAGCGCGGTGGGCGGCGCGGTCTCGATCCTTGGAGAGATCAAGGAGGGAAATGGACAAAGCAAGAGCAGCGAGCTTCTCAGCTATGAAAGGTGTCACCACCTCCTCCTCAGCTTCTCCTTTCTCCTCCTCCTCAGCATCCTGGACGAGCTTGATGATCTCGGCGTCGCTTAACTCCGCATGCACCGTCGGCTCCTCATCACCTGGATTGAGAAGTGACGCAATAGACATCGAATTGCGCAAAGGCAGGCGTTGCAGAGCTGACTCCAGACATTTCTCCACTTCCTGCTCCTCCTAATCAACCAGATCTGCATCCTGTTGCACAGGCTGCTGAATGTCCCCTGCTGAAGCGCCTCCTTCAACTGCTGGTGAAGTCGGCCCATTCATGAGTCCAGTGTGCTTGAAGCAATTCGCAATGGTGGTGCTCAAAATCTCGCTCCACTCCATAAGCGACCAACGCATGGCTATGACTTGATCAACTTTGTAGAGATCGGCCGCTCCCGCATCATCGCGATCCAAAGCGTTCTGTAGGGTGCAGACGCCGGTAGTGGCGCTTGAATACAGCGATGATACCGGCGCCCATTGGCTGCACCTTGGATGTGGTATTGGGCGGCAGAGCCTGAACGATGACGTTGGTGAGCACAAGATCCAAAGCTAGGTGCGAAGGTGCGTTTTCCATAAGCAGAAGGATTTTTTTTATCCTGGCGCTAGAAACTGGGTAAGTGCTTTGTTTTGCAGCTGATATCTCAGATGGGAAATTTTTATTACCTTCATGTCTCTGTCCAGGTTTCCAAGCCATTCCTGGAAAAAGACCCCAGTCATCCAGGCTTTCTTGATGTAGCGATAAAGTAACTCGAGCTCTTCTCCTGACTTCCGTTGGAAGCAACGAGGATTCTTTGCACGGCTGATGAAGAATGGAGGGAGCTTATCAGATCCATTAGCATTTGCCGTCAGAGCCCCTGTGATGCGACTCTGACAAACATGTCAATTATTCCATTGATCCCACGGATTCCTACAAGCCAAATGCAACTCACCTTGTCTTTTTTGAAGCCTTCAAATTCCTTCTGGGCAATGGTTTTATCCGGTGTCATGCTGTTGAATTATCCTGGAAATCATCTTGGCATTTATGACACAGAGCATAAAAGACTTCAGGAGAACTTACCAGTTTCGTCCGTGTTGTGCACATCACGGGGAGCAAACTTGGAGACGGCTGCTTGCAACTCTTGTAGAGCTGCTTCAAGTCCAGCCACATCGGCTGAACCGCTCTCTCCACGGACGGCCCTTAGCCTGTGGCGCTGCTGGAATTCGTAAAGCCACCCATGGGCAAACTTGATTGATCCATCCGGAATATCCATGGACGTTGCAAAGCTTGCAGCTTTGGTACGGATCAGGTCTCCGGTGAGGGCAACTCCACGATGCTGGCACTGCAAAATACAGAGGACCACTGCTTCTTCCAAGGCAGGATGTTAAATGAGCGGGGACGCTTAGCAGAGAGCTTTGATGGACTCATTGCTTCAAGCTCCTTCCTCTTGCTGATGATCTTGCTGATTGAGGCCTGCGTCATAGGTTTGGGGAGGCCGAATGCCTCCTTCATCCAATTTCCAAGCTCTGTCTGGGTGAGGCTCGGATGATCCTCCTTATGTTTGATGATTCTCAGCTTCTGGTCGTTGGTGAGACGTAGTTGAGACATCTCTGATGTGTGGGTGGGTAAGTGGGTAGGAGGGTGGGTAGGTGTGGCGTTCTGGTTTTTTTGAGGGGGAGTTGTTGGTTTGGGAGAGGAATGGAAGTGGACAGGAAGCGAGAGAGGGAAATCAAGAGGGAAGGTGAGGTGTGGATGTAGGAATGTAGGGATGTTTGTTTGGTCGGGGGAGAAAAACGGTGTCTTTTATACCTTGGCCCCCGGTGGCCAGCCCGCTAGGCGAGTTGCAAAAGGTTGCGCAACCGCGCACAAAATGTAAACAAGGAACAGTACTTTTACTGTGTTCGAAGGCACTTTAACTGTGCTTGGTTCAATGACTCAGTTGAGTGTGATACAATCGATTAATTGTGTTCAATTAAACGTGTTCAAGTTGGATTCGATGCACTCACAAAGACAATGCATTGTACGCACAAGGACTCCATAATTTCCACAGGCGGTGCCCAGACGCGTCCCCCACCAGAAGGGTAAAGAAATTGTTCTGTGGTCCGCTATTTTGATCAATAAATGACAATCGTGATACTAATACTAATAGTTATGCATCTATTGTACTGCATTGATAAGTCATAAAATAATAAGTGGTCAGCTTAATTAATTGGTTATTCCCAAATGAAATAACCCCTGATAAGTTATAGTCTCTGGCCTCCACCAAGGCTATAACTTATGGGGGGGAGGACTGTAAATGACAAAACCATTTTACTACAGTGCTTTGTGTTTCTCCTCCAACGATATGAATATCGAATAAGGCGCTCATGAAGAGCGGTTTTCTTACCACCAAGTAATGAGCACTTTTCGTAAAACTAAAAAAACTCAAAGATGTCTCGCCTTCCTCTTCCGTCCATACTTGTTAGCCGGTATCAATGTTGAGGTTGAAGGTACCTAAAAGCAAGTGACGTCTTCATTGCTGAGACTTTGCTCCTACTACCCCGACAATATATACGCACAAATAGATCAAAGATAGCAGGACTGACATCGTAGAGCGCCCTAACCCAAGAGATAGAATAGTGCGCTCATTATTCCAACTAGGGGTCTGATCCAATCTCGCCCCTAACTATTCTCCGCAAAAAGACCAGCTGTGGTCCACGCTCACACACCATTTTGGTCCCGCTATTGCGGTCACTTTTCATTACATCAGCCACGTGTGACAAGTGGGTCGAGCAAGCGACCTGCCATGGCGACCACTAAGTTCGACGTGGTGTGGCGTCACGACGCACTGGGACTGCGCTTTACGCCCAATGAGAAAGACCTTCCAGTGGTATGTCAAGTGCCATCAAACGCCAATCCCTCTGTATTGGCGTCCCCCGTGGCCGTAGGTGACGTGCTCGTGGCTTTTGACTTGCACCTTTCCACTGAAACAGGTGAGCCGACGATGCAGTTGGTGGAAACTTTCGATCAATTGGGGACTGTTCTGTGTCGTGCTAAGCTTCCGGTGACGCTGCGCTTTCAGTCAAGGGAGAGGGAGACGCCACTTCGAGTTGACGAGTCCGATGTGATCCACAGCTACGACTTTACGTGGGACGCTCATACATCGCTTGGCGTGTCACTAGCAATGGATCCGTGCTCCCTGTACGCGGTAATTACTATGATTGATGCTGCCAAGATCTCGCCAACGTTCCAGGCCCTAAAGCCGGAGCTGGGCGACGTGCTGGTTGCTTTTTCTTCGACTTCTGATGACGGTCAAGCCACGCGTCTCGACGAGATGCGGTTTGAGGATATTATCCGGACGTTACGGCAATACCCGCGACCTTGTCGTCTCTCTTTCGCGAGACTTGCGGCGGAGACTCTATCCGACTTGTCTGGAGTCGAAGAAGAAGATAGTGTGGTTAATTTACGAAAGCAGCTCGGGCGGTTGAAAGCGAATTCTGCTGCTAGTGAGGACACTAGTGGTGTCCAAGTCAAGGACATGTCAGAGCCGCCATTTCTGAAGCAGCAACTGCAGATGCCTCCACTTGTTCGCTGCAAGGCTGGTTTACGTCCAGCACGGAAGCTGATCCCCATCTCGAATCGACAGAGTTTTCGCATTGACAAGCCGGTACAGTCTGTGCTTTCGTCGGGTGAATGTCGTCCGCATGCTGGTTCCACGTCTTCGAACGAGGGCAGGCCACACCGTGGATCAAATGCCGATGAGAAGGGATTCTACACGGTCCTGTATAGTGGTGGTGCTGTGGGACTGCAATTACGTGACCGCTCGCAGGACGACACAAATCTCGCAAAAGGTGACGACATGACGAATCGAACGAACGGATACACAGTGGCAATCCGGAGCGTCACGGATGTAAGGTCTGCCCAAGGGTTGGAACTTGCGACAGCAGACGATTTACTGATGGCGATCGGCTCGAAGGATCTGCAGCATGTTTCGTTCGAAAATGTGCGCAAGGAGCTTGGCATGATCCAAACACCTACACAATTGCTGTTTAAGAAACGCAAGCGCGTCGTGGGTAATTCTGCAGGGTCGTCGCTGGTTGACACGCTGCTGCTCTTCCTCATGTAAAAAGCCAGCGTCGATTACTCGGAACTGCTGCACATTGTAATATGTGGAACAGCTTCGTTGAATGTTAAGCCACAATGTAAACAGAGATCACCAGGTTTTTGCACAAGGGTACTGATATAATAGACCGAATGCACACGATTACCTCCTTTGTACTGACAATAAGCGTCATAAATATCAACTCCTTGCAGCATAAATTACATGTGACGAGGCTGAGCGAGACCCTCCCGACTAGATTTTTCTAGTTACAGCAGGCGTTGTTTTGTGTCGCCCCATCTCTTCTGTTTCTAAAAAAATCCCCACGCATCGAGATAAAACCCAACCTTCTTCTCCAGCTTCTCTGGTGATAAATGCCCGAGCCCTCCGACGTGGCCCCAATGTCTCGCCACGAAGAGAGCGTCGCGCTGCGCTCGTCAGGCCCAAGCGCCAGCAACAACGCACTGCCATCGCCTTCTCGCACGCGTCTACTTGCAACTGCTGGCGTGGGGAGCGGCCCCAGCGCCCCAATCGAAGCGCATGCCGTGCGTCTTAATGTGCTAAATAGCAGCGTGCAGGAAGCCCGCGAGGCGCGTAATTCGCGGTTGATTATGGGAGCCATTTCATTGGTCAATATCCCTCAGATTGTGGCAGCAGTCGTTATCCTGGCATCTTATTGGCAGAAAGAGACACTGTGTTTTCGCATCCAAGTGTGGGTCTTACTCCATACGATACACCTGGCGCTCACGCTGTTGCTCGAGTGGACTCTTTATTATTTCAACTCTGCCCGCAGTAATCGGGCAATCCGTCTCCGAGAACAGCATATGACCATGTTGAGTCAGCTCAAGTACGGTCTGGATCTCGCTGGACTCTTTTGGTTTTTGGTTGGCAACATGTGGGTCATTAGTGACGGAGCGCGCTGCGACGATGGGTCAATCATGTACCAATTGGCACTCTGGATGATCATTATCTCGTACGCCAAGATCTTTCTGCCGTGTTTGTTACTGCTGGCCCTGCTGCCGATCCTCTGCTTTTGTCTGCCGTGTGTCATTCGACTGCTCAACAGACTGCAGGATCCGATGAGGGGCAAAGGGGCGACCAAAGAGGTAATAGCTTTCGTGCTGTTGCTACTTGTCTGAATTGTATGTTAGGTGAAATGCTGATGCTTTGGTTCTGTTCGTGTTTTTGTGGTTGAACTGCAGCTTATCGACCAGATTGAGACCAAGACGTACACGCCCAACATGTTTCTGCCAGAAGACGCATGTTGCTGTATCTGCCTGAATAACTACGAAGCCAGTCAGCCGCTGCGCGTGTTGCCGTGCGGACACCATTTTCACAAAGAGTGCGTCGACGAGTGGCTGTTGGTGAACTCGACGTGTCCGACATGCCGTAAATCCATATTTGACGCCGAAGCGGGCGAGGCTGTAGCAACAAGCGAGGGAGACATGCTGCGACGAGTGTAATGGCATTGACGTTCAACATATTTTCAGTTAATTGGTGTTGGTTGTCGACATCCGTGTAGATGTGGCGGGGCTTATTTGAAGAATCCTTTTTATATTTTTTTGGCCGCGTTCGTCTACGTGGAGCTATTTTCTGCGCCTGATGGCATATCGTACCGGAAAAACAGTTGTGCTTTGCTTCGGCCGTTTCTCAAGCATCTACAGTCTTCCCTCCGACAAGTTTTCCCACAATAAGCTATAGTTTATAGTAGGTTATCGATTTCCGCGTCAAACAGACCCCGTTCTATGTGCGCTAAGTTAAAGCTTAAAGTTATGATCAAATAGGGCAATATAACTTTAAACAAGAGCATTTATTTTCGTATAATAAACGAAATAACTTCTTGGACCACATTTCGATGGTGGTTCAGGTGGTGGGAGTGTTGCAAAGATCGAGCTGGAGGATGCGAAGGAGCTTATAAGCAGCTTGGTGACGTTCCTGGGATACTTCGGGTAAGGAGCAGGCATCACTAAGGAGGTTAATCTTCTCGGTTCTGTTAATTTTCCTGCGACAGGTGTCGCATCTCGCTGTTTTATCTCCTCATCATCTGCCTCCAAAACCCCTTTTAGAATCTCATGTCGGATAGCTCAGGCTGAGCAGTCTCATCCTTCTTGATATGATCAAGAAGCTCCGAAATTTTCATGACATCTCGTACACGCAGCTTCTCGAGCTGTGCTATCAGCTCTTGTTCCAGCTAACTTTCTTCCTCCTTGACCTCCGTTGCGCCATCTTTACTCCTCTCCACCTTCACTGCACTTGACATGACCGATTCAGTAGAAAAAAACCCGTGTGACTGAGGCAGTTGGCAACGGTGGTGCTTAAGATCTCGTTCCAGGCAGCCACCAACCAGCGCATGGCAGTAAGTTGGTCGAATTTGTAGATTTAAACCCTCCCTACGCTCGTCAGTCGATCGCATTCTGCAGATGGTAACGGCGATACCTGTGTTTAAACGGTGCAATGACACCAGCATCCATTGGCTGAATCATGGAGGTCGTACGTGGTGTAAGCAGCTGGACCTTGACGTTAGTTAACGTAAGGTCATCCGTCATATGCGATGGAGCACTGTCAATCATAAGAAGAACATTTCTACTTTCGATCCGAAATAATACAATGTTGGAATCATTATAATTCTAATTTTAAATGGCTAGGCACTTTCGTTGTTAAGTCCAAATTTGCAAGCTATTCCTATAAGACCACGCCCTCTGTAACGGAACACCCTGAAGCTTGTACTGATGACAGTACAAGCTACTTATTCTGACGACAGAATGAGGCGGTGCCTCGGAACTTCACGTACACTGGTACGTGCAGAGGAAGACGGTAAGAAGAAGCGAGTACTTGGTTAAAGTAAAAAGTAGAACTGTATTTATCATAGTTAATATCTGTTAATAAATCACGATTTATCCTCATCTAACTGTGTCTGAATACAAATGTGTATATCAACTATCTGCTCACCACTCGTTGCGGTGCGTCTGTCGTGGCGCTTCTTCGTTGGTTGATATAATGGCCTATATCAACCAATTAGGAACTACTCGTAAGTGCTGCAGGATGTTTGTCCTTTTGACAATATTCTGAGAATGTCACTCATATAGTTATATTCTATTAACAATTTCTTATAAATTGTTACGTAACGATTCACCCCGTTACATCACCCCCCCCTTAACTATCAGTCACTTTTGTGACTAATTGACTGAATGGATACTCGTCCCAAATCATTTTGGACAGGGTTTGCACTTGTTGGTCCGAGTCCACTTTCCAACAGTTCATCGCATAGTTTAACAAGCCCATGAGGTGCGCGAGCAAGGCCGCCGAGAGAGTGTCTGCACGTCTCTGTGCGGACGCCGAAGCAGAAACCGCAGCAACTCATGTCTCATCGGTTGCTGAAGCGACACAGCCTGTGTCACTTGGTGATGCAGGCGCTGGTCATGAAGACACTCATGTCTTCACAGAGTATGAGCTCGGTGTCTCATACTCTCCTGATACGGAAGACGGATCCGTATCGAAGGCGGTTGTAACCAAGCCGCCTGCCAAGCGTGGCATGGATGATGCTACGCGTCGTAGCATCTTTGGTTCATCTGACGAATCAGATGAACCATCGCCAAAATGAAGGCGCTCGAGATCGCGGGACTCGGGCGCTTACAGTGGTGTCGGTTCTCCTATTGACACCACTTCGCAACAAGGTGCCAGTACTTCTGTCGACACGTCGCAGGAAGAGCGGGACCGCAACGTGTTGCGTCTCGCTCCCGAAAAGAAAGCATGGCTGCCTCCAAAGTCAGTCATGGATCGCTTGTCGGCGACGACGAGTGATCGTTATCGAACACGATTGTTCGATTCGTCAAAGATCCATCACCTTGACCCCAGTGTGAAGGTCTATCACACTGAGCATGATTTCTTCATCGATGCTTTCTTCAAACATCGATGATACAGTGGGAATCACAAACGTGATGGCCCCTCACTACTTCAGGCGTGGAACGCCTACATCCATAACCTCGAGGATGTAGGTCGTGACGCTTGGAACGACAAATTTATCAAAGCTCGTGATAAGTTTGAAAAGAAAACCCCAACAGGTGCACGCTACAATCTGCATCGTCTGTCAAGGGAGAAAGGATTACCCTGCCTCTCTTGGGGAGACTCGTGCCCGTGTTGTGTGAACAACTCTGCACGAGCACCTAAGGAGGCTTACCTCCTTACCAGCCCGTGGTGGCGCGTACGTATCTCTAGTGAGATGTACGAAGGGATTGACAACCTGAAATCCCTCTACGACCGTGCCGGGAAGACTTTCTCCGGCGGTCCTTCTGCGGCACAGGATGTGCCGCGTCGTACTGCTCAACCAGACCCAGTACGTCGATCATCAGTTGGGAGCGGGGCTCCCAAGAATTCCAGGACGGGGGATAGCCGCGCCACCGGACGAGATAACTCGTCCGACGTCCGTTTACGTCGCGGTGGTTCAACAGCTGCTCAACTAGATAGCGCTGGCCACCGCGAGAGTCCTCTAATGGAGGTGGAGGAGGAGGAAAGACGCTCTCCACACGATCATGGGGATCCGTGTGTTCCCGAGAGCTTCTTTGATCGCGTAACGCAAGGGTTACGCGACGATCTCGAACATGAGCGGAATAGGCGTCTCCAAATGGCGGACGCTGCCTCGAAGCATCGAGCTGAGTTTGCCTTTGCTCAGCTTGAGAACGAGAGATCTCTGACATCTCTTCGTGACGAGCTAAGGGTAGCTCGTGGGATTGTTGATCGGTCTCGGGATGAGATAACTGCTCTTCAGACCCTTGTTGATGCCCACCATCGGGAGCACAAGGCTCTATGCGAGATGCTTGAGCGCAAGGGCGTTCTTCATCGGAAGAAGCAGCGTACTGATGGTACGGCTTAAGCCGACCAACGTAAAACGTGGGATGCGTTCGCATCTTACGTGGTAACTCGATCGTGTATGCATTGCCTAGGCGATGCAATACAAGAAATAAGCCGATGTACTTGGGTAGAAGTTTACTACTACCCAAGTTAGTCACTACATGATTTGGTAGATTAACCGTAGACGGTAGGACTAAGTCACCTTTATAAAATAAAAGAGTGTTTGCCCTTCCGTTCTTGTCTGCGTTTTGCTTTTGCTTATCCACCGCTTCGGCGATGGAGTCTTGCACGAAACGGACTACCGTTTCACGAGCCAGTATGAACTCATCTGATGACTCGTTAGCTTCAGTGCGCTGTGAGCGCACTGCAGCAACATCAACCTTTTCTTCAGTGAGGGCTTCCGCACTCTCACTGGCATCATCTTCTTCGATATCGATGTTATCGATATCGGCATCAAACGCAATGACCTCTTCGTCAGAGCGTGATGAGCGTGAACCAAATCGGTTTTTGCTCGCGCGAGTCCCTCCCCCCTTAAACCAGAGTTACACTCTAGTAAGGTGGGTACACGCGGATGGCGCAAGCCATTCACATAAAACGGTGTATGTGTCGTGGACGCATGCACCGAGTTGTTGATGGCAAACTCTACCATTGGCAAAAACTCACTCCAACTCTTAAAGGAGTGTACGTATCCTCGAAGTATCTCTTCAAGGACACGATTGGCACGTTCCGTCTGACCATCTGACTCTGGATGATCAGATGTCGACATCTTCAAGCGTGTTCCGAGTGATTTGAACACGGAACGCCAGAAATCAGCAGTGAATCGTGGATCTCTGTCTGATACGAGTTCACGGGGCAACCCATGAAGTCGGAAGATGGTGTCGATAAAGACACAAGCACAGCCACTTGCCGTGATTGTCTCTGGTACAGCCACAAGGTGTACCATTTTGCTGAATCTGTCAACAGAGACGAGAATACCCGTATTCCCGCGTGCGTCTTTGGGTAACCGGAAGACAAAATTTATTGAGATGGATTCCCAGCACTCAGCCGGAACCGGTAGAGGCTGTAAAGGTGCACGCAGTAAAGGTCTTGACTTCACTCGTTGACAGACTTCGCATGCGCGAACATACTTGCGCACAAACTGATGCTGGCGGGGCCAGTTAAAGTCTCGACTCACCGTGAGACATGTTTTCTCACGGCCACGATGTACTCCTATAGGAGCATCGTGATACTCGAACATGATCCTCAAACGCAGATCAGTATCATCTGGAATGACAACACGTGGTGTGTCACCAGAAACGGCTGTATAATACAGTAAACCGTTGCGAGTAGTGTATCGATCTGATGCAGATCAATACGCAGACGACAATCGTTTCGACGATTCTCGAGATGGCTGTGAGAGATGTGTCAACAACTCACAATCCCACCATCTTGGGCATACGCCCGCCTCACATCATCATGTAACGTTAGAGATGGTATGGAGGACGTCATAACCGCAACAGTGGATGGCTCACTGTTGGGTTTCACTACTTTTTCAAAGTCGGGACGACGTGAGAGTGCATCAGCGACGACATGAAGTCGTCCTGGTTTGTACTCGACCGTAAAGTTGTATTCTGAA